GCAAATGGACGGAAATAGAAAACACTATCCTGAGTGAGGTAAGCCAGACCCAAAAAGAGGAACATGGGATGTACTCACTCATAATTGGTTTCTAGCCATAAATAAAGGACATTGAACCTATAATTCGGTTCAATAAGAAGCTAAATAAGAAGGAGAACCCAAAGAAAATCATATAGGCATCCTCCTGAATATTAAACTTCATCAGGCGATGAAAGGAGACAGAGACAGAGACCCACATTGGAGCACCGGACTGAAATCTCAAGGTCCAAATCAGGAGCAGAAGGAGAGAGCCTACATAGCAGAACAGGGATTTGAACCCTAGTCCAGAGCACCTACTGTACTTTGCTTGGAACCTCATATCAATTCCCAGTCATCACTTTATGCTGTTCCTTTTCTGCTAAGGCACCAGGTATCAAAGCTGCCTGTTCAGCAAATTCTCAGAAAGTCACTGCTCATAGCCTAATTTTTAGATTAGACCTGTGATTGACATCTCACAATATTCTTTCCATGCTCCATTAAAGTACCAGTTCCTCTGTCTTTCTCTTCCTTCCCCCCTCTCTTTATCTCTATCTCTCATATCTGACTTTAGTAAAAATTGCTGCATTGATGAAACTGAAGCTTACGTCGCTGCCTTTTCCTAGCCTGTTTATCCTATCCAGCAAAGCATTGAATTTGCCCCGAAGCAATGAGGGTTTAATGAAGGTTTAGCAAAAGTCCATCCTCTTTGATGAAACAAAGATTTAGGAAAGAGTTTCAGTCCTGCCACTTGTTAACAGGGACTGACTGCCGTTTTGCTTTCCGACCCCCTGGACCCAAATAATCACAAAGAAACTATATTAATTACAACATTGTTTGACCAATGGCTTAGGCATATTCCTACCTAGCTTTTATATCTTAAATTAACCTATTTCTATTAATCTGTATAGCACCACGAGACTATGGCTTACTTGTAAGGTTCTGGCATCTTTCTCCTTTGGTAGCTACATGGTGTCTCCTTGACATCTCCTTGACTCCACCTGCCCTCTCTATATCTCCATTCATACTTCCTGGCTGACTTTACTCTGCTAAACCTTTGGCCAAAACAGGTTTATTCATCAACCAATAAAAGCAACACATATACAGAAGGACATCCCACAGCAGCCACTGCAATGCCACCTGCCTTGGGGCATTTACTCTCTCAGCCATGCTAGCTTTACAGAGCTGTTTCTAGATTAGAGACATGAATTATCTGTTTTCCTCTCTCCTACAACTAAGCTATTGGATCTCACCCTTACTTTTATTTCACAAAGCTTTTCCATAAACCCCTAGTGTTTTCGTTAGGTTTTCTATTGCTGAGACAAAACATCACCACAAAAGGCAAGTTGAGAAGGAAAGGGTTCATGTGGCTTACATGTCAACATTGCTATTCATCACTGAAGGAAGTCAGGACAGGAACTCAAACAAGGCAGCATCCTGGAGGCAGAAGCTGCTGCAGAGGTCATAAAGGAGTACTTCTTAATGGCTTGCTTATCATGACTTGTTCAGCCTACTTTCTTATAGTAGGGCCTCAAAGGGTTGGGCCCTCCCCCATTGATCACTAATTGAGAAAATTCCTTACATCTGGATCTTAGAGAGGCATTTCCTCAACTGAGGATCCTTCCTCTCTGATAAGTCTAGCTTGTGTCACATTGACACACAAAACTAACCAATACACCGGGGTTACCATGTTTTCTAACCCCTTTCTGATTTTGTTGCCACCTACTATAACTTTATTTTACTCCCTGCATCTTCCTTCCCCACAACTTACAGTGACAATATCCTACCCGCTCACTGGTATACCTCTCAGACACCTCTCAAGTTTTAGATTATCCATCCACTCTTTCACAGTGCACTCTCTCACATCATGAAACTAGACACACAAGTAAGAACAGAACATCAATAGAATGATATGAAAGGAGAGAGCCTTGGAACTTAGAGCTGAAAGGAAATTTTTTGAGATGAGTTGGGAACCTAAGAAGGAATGTGGTAAATTCAGGGACATAGAGTGCAAACAGAGTCCTAATCAGCCTCAAACCCCTGATTTTTTTTCCTCTTGTATGAGTGTTGAGGACAATGGCACAGAAGCTGGCTAGGCTACCTGGGCCTTGTTACTGTTTGCAGCCCAACATTGGATACATTTTTAGAATTTAAAACAATATGTGTCTAGAGCATTTAAAATAGTCCCAAAACATAGTAAATTTGTAACTAATACATTTTTCTGATTGACATGTGGTCATTTCTCATCACCAGATAGCAAATACCATAAACACAACACTGTAAAGCAGTAAAGACTCAACCTCACTGTCTGTCAGCTTGCACTGAGTAGCCAACTCTCTGCCCAGAGTATCACTGGATGGAAAGCAGATGTCTGAAGAATACAGGTCTCCTCCAGTGCCATATGTTCCTCTTTTTGTTCGTTAGATACTGATAGGGTTTCTTCCCTTGTTACCACAGGGTAAGGTCTCATCTTTACTAGCTTTTGGATGTATACCCTCATTAGCTCCTAGTTCCTTGCTCTTTGCACCCTGATTTAATAAAGAGCTCACAACATGATTCTTTCCTTCCTTTCATATCTGAAGGCTCATGAGTCATATCAGACCTACCTAGGCAATCTCAAATTTTGTTAGTACAGAGGTACCTGCTTAATAATAAGCTTTATATCTATAAAAATCCACTCTTGCTACAGAATATAATATAACCAGAGGGTATCCCACTCATAGGTTCTGCCCTATCATTAAGGATTAAGCAGGATCACCAGATCACCAGTGGTCCCTGGTGGGAATTATCAGATATAGATTCCATGGTGCCAAATGCGTGGAAGTTCACAGACATTTCTATGAAGTCTTCTCTTTAGTGACAGATAACTCTGATAATCTGCATTAATTTCCTGGGGCTCCTGTAACAAAACACTACAAAATAGGTGGTTTAACACAACAGTTGATTATTTTTTAACAATTTTATGAGTCAGAAGTTGTTTTCCAAAGCTCTAGGAAAGACACTTTCATTGTTCCTTTCTGTCTTTTTGTTAGTGATTGCCAGCAATCCTTGATACCCCCTTTTGTCTTGATGGATCTGTCACTCTAAGCTCCGTTTGATCTGCACGTTAGTCTCCCTGTATCTGTGTGTCCAAATATCCCTCTCATAAAGGGACATAAGATTAAGTCCCACCCTAATTTTAACTTAATTGTGCCTGTAAAGGTCCTGTTTCCTGTTAAAGGTTTGAACTTGAATTGGGGTTTTGCAGGGACATGGTGCATCCCAGTAGGAAAAACATATCAAAATGCATTTCTTCTTCCTCCACATCACCAGGGTTGGGAAAAGCTCAGCTTCCATCCTTTCATTCATTGGCCAATCTCCATATTTCCCAGGTATCACGTCTGGACTAAAGGCCATGCACCCACAAACTTTGCCAAGTGGCGGACTGCCACCATGCCTTACCGGGTTGAGTGGGAGGCTGATTTTGAGCCGTATGTTGTTGTGAGACGAGACTGCCCTGAGTACGATCGAAGATTTGTGGGCTTTGGCTGGAACAAAGTGGCTCACATCATGGAACTGGATGCACAGGTAGGAACAGAGCACCTTACTGATATTATTCAGGGAAGGAGACAGGTACAGATATTAGAACTGAAAGAGAACCTTGGAGATAAGAAGATTAAAAACAAATTTCAGAGGAACAGGATGTGTTCAGGGACTAAAAATGAGAACATGAATCTGATTTTCTAGGCTTGAAACCTCAAACTTTTGTTCTTGTGCATGGGAATTGGGTTCCTGGCAAGGATTAGGCAAATGTAAGTCTCCTGTAATGTATCATCTTACCCCTCCATCCAGTAAGGAAGGCAAGCACAGGATGACTAGTCATGACTTGGCTTTCAAGTTGTATAATTGTGTCACTATAAATAGCACAAAACATGCCACTAAAATGTGGTTAATTATTCTACCCTTCAGTTAAAACAGCAGTGACTTTTAGACTGGGTTTAATCTTGAAAGCCTTCATTCATTTATACAATACTTAACAAACATATATTTCAGAAGAAGTATGCATAATTTAAATAAGTGAAGCCTAGGTACCGCACACTTTCTGCAGAAGACCAGATAGTGTGTGGAGATTGTGTGACCTGCAAATCTACCTTGTACCTGCTCAGATCAAGAATTGTTTTTCCTCCATAGATGGCCTGTAAATAAATGTGCATGGCTGGATTTCAGTACAGCTTTAGACAGCTACCAGAAAGGCTGTAGTTTATCATCCTCTGTGTTGAACACAGAGGCACAAAACTGCTCTGGTTATGTTAGGGGGATACTTGGATCCCTTGAACCCCACTATTCATATTCTTCTTCGGGCTTCTCCTTTTTGCCTCAGTATTAATATTTCTCAGCAAGAGTACTCCAAAATCTGGGAACACTAAGTTAGGTTAGTGATGGCTATCCATGAAACACTTGTTCCATTGAGTCTGAGCTATGCGAGGTGACTGAGAACCATTGGTGTTGGGAGAAGGTTGTGGAATAGTGTCCTCATTAAACAAAACAAAGCCTGATATCCATCCATTGATACCCATGTCATGACCAACATAACTGTTTACATACCATGAGCCTTGGCCTGCTTTTGCTGTTCCTAGATAGAACAGTGGTATTTCTCGGACCAGAAATGTTGTGTGGAGAAGGTTTAAAGAAAAGTTTATTTTTCCCATCACCAAGGCCTTGCTTGCCTTTGTTCTAGACTCTTTTCACAGCGCTTTTGCAAACAAACCCTATACTTTATTTTCCTGTGGGGTTCATAAAACATAATTTTACCCATCCCAGGGAATTAAGAAAGTGAAACACTCATCATCATCCCTCAAGATAGATTTTCTCACTCTCACTTTGTAGCTGAGCAAACCAAAGTTTAGATGACTCCTATATTTTGTACAAGTTCATGGGCATGGTCCTGAAGCAAGTTACTCTGTAGCTAGTATGCCCCCTTTCCAGTGTTATTCTCCAGTCCCTTGATTCAAAGTCATATATGACCCAAGGCTCTTGCAAGATCTCTCATTACCTTGTCTTCCTCCTTCCAGGAGTACGAGTTCATCGTGTTGCCCAATGCCTACATGATCCACATGCCCCATGCCCCCAGTTTCGACATCACTAAGTTCCGTTCCAACAAGCAATACCGCATATGTCTCAAAACCCTGAAGGAAGAGTTTCAACAAGACATGTCCCGACGCTATGGCTTTGCTGCCCTGAAATATCTCACGGCAGAGAACAACAGCTAGCACTATGAAGACCACCGCTAGGGAGAGACATACCACTGAGGAAGAGCCACTTGCTGCCTGGGGCCCAGCCATTGAAGACAAACTCTACCACTGTTTTCTTTGGTTTGTTTTCCTTTGTCTCTTTGGCCCCTCAAAGCTGTTCTTTTCTAAGATCTTGGACAGCAACCCAGTCCACCACCATGAGGTGCTTACAGAATGGGACATGGAAGCGTGGAAGCAAACAAAGAGTAAACAACTTACCACAAAAGCACGAACCAAGTCAGGATTTCTCGATGCTCTAATTGCTTTTCAATAATTATGGTTCAAATCCTAGCTGTGGAGAAAGAAGTGGCTATTCTACTTCATCCCAAGAAATAAGAGCAAACTACTTCTTCCTAGGAAGGGAACTTTATTTCCCCTGCCACCTAGCCAGGTACCCAAGTGGGAAGCAAGTCAAGGATCCCAACTACCATCTGGAGACCTGCATAGGGACATTATATATGTATCCTGGAAGTAGGATGAATTGATTCTTTATTCTCAAAGTCTCTCGTTTTGAGTTGTTTGAATTTGGGAGATTTTGATTTAGGATTCCAAGCTAAAAACAATTATCTAATCGTTAAAGCTCTAAAAGAAAAATCAGCTTCCCCAGTCAGCAGTGGACTGGCAAAGATGAGCCTCCTTAGAGAATGTTCACACATGGACAGCTTCCTTCAGAATGAACACTGAGATCCCCTGATGCTGAGTTCCCACTCTCAAGACCCAAGGTTATGACAGGAACTACAGAAAAATGAAGCCAACACTATATGCAAGTCACATTCTTCTATGGACAGTAACTAAGGCACAAGGAAAGGGCTTCAAGGAACTACTTCAGTACTCACTGAAGGTATGATTCTTCTCTCAGGCCTTTAGAAGAACTTATAGTTCACAGTAACCCAGTCCGAAGACTTGTGTGACCACATGGAAGCCACTGGAAGAAAGAGGTCAGGCACTTCCAGAAAAGGGTCGGGCACTTCCCTTTTGGAAGCACAGGAGTTAGTGACCTTAGTTTCCCTCAGGACTTGTCCTGGGGTTGGTAAGCACCTCTTCGCTTCACAGATGGAGGAAACACTGAACTTTTTACTCGTTTCCTTTATCTTCACTATTAATGTTGTGTTTCCATCGATGAGAACAAGAGTTAATGGCCTGCCCATTGCTGGACTGTTTGTATTGAGTTGCCATGTGACTAGTGAAAGCTGCATTCAATAAACAAAAGTATGGACTGTTTCTTCCTCATCTCCCTCCCACTCTTGAAAGAAGCCACATGACATACTTGGTCTAGAGGGCAAAGTCAGTTCCATGCACAGCACCTCACACTCTGTTATCCCATCTCATCTTTCTCATTGTTTGAAATGTTACATTTTTTTCTCTATGTTCAGAATTAGATCTTACTTTCTCCTCTAATCCTCAACTCATTTCAAAATTTCCATTTTGCATCTGTCTCACTACTGTAGTGGTGATGTTTTATTCTAAGTATGCAAATTGTGGAGATCAGAAGCAAATTTAATAGCCAACTCTTAGGTCTTTCTTGTCCCCTGGAACCCCAACAGTCCAGTCAGTGAGACCACTACATTCAGTGTGTTCAATGGCGTTTCCCCTATATTTGTACAAAATGAAGAAAATTATAATTAGGATTGTCACATAGACACAGATAAGTTTGTTTCTTTGTTAGTTACTTATCTTGTTACTGTGATAAAATATTTGGCAGTAGGGTTTATTCTGGTTCAGAGTTTGAGAATGCAGCCCAACATGATAGGGAAGACATGGCAGCAGGAACTTGAAGCCCTGATCACATTGTGCCTGTAGTCAGGAAGCAAAGAGAGATGAGCATCAGCACTCAACTTGCTTTCTCCTTTTTCTTCAGTCAGGGACCCCATCCAATGGGATGATACTACCCACACTTAGGGTGAGATTTCTCACTTCTGTTAACCTAGATAGTCTCATTCAGACATGTTTAAAGGTTTGTTTCTTGGGTGATTCCCCTAGTTGATTCTAGATCCTAGCAAGTTGACAATATTATCTATCACAATATACTTACATATATTATATATATATATAATACACATATATATTTATATATAAAGGAAGCATCTGTGTGTATAGCATATATGCAAAATTTATCCTTACCAAAGTAATGAATGAACACTATAAAAGGAAAACATGACAAAAAGGTGTTCAAAGCCATGCTAAGTTCAGTTTCTTCACTAATGATGCTGCAGCCAGCTACCACAGGCTCACAGAATTGACTGTGCGTCTCTCTCCAGTAGCCATATTCAGTGACCTCCCCAAAACATTGGTTATTAAATATTTACCTTTAGCACTCACAGCCTTTCCCCCCCCCACCACATGCATGTATACACATACTCAAAGGTACACATAAATTCTGCTGCTTTCCCCCAGATTAGCCACTGCTAGTTGTAGGTTGATTTGAACTAATCATCCCCAGCTACTTGAGCCAAGCTTAACGTTAATTGGCAGCACTAGTTCTCAGCATTAAACATCAAAGTTTAATTCCCTAAAGCTTTTCTTTAAACGTTTATTCTGACACATGAATCAGGCCCAGACACCTTGTTTTCATTTGCATGTTTATAGGAAAAACTAGGGCCCATATAAATGACTAGCCAAACAAGGTCACTCCCAAGAATGAAAGGAGATGCTAACTACTTTGATATAATACCCATAAACTGGTAGATGATGAAACTGCATGTACATAGAATCTATTAAAGCCAGAATCTGACACTCCATACCATCATGAGAAACATCCTATTTCCTCAAATATGATTGTCTGACACTGTCATCTAGTTCCACTTAAAAACAGAGCTCAAAGGTTATCAACCAAATTCAACCCACAATTTGGCATCTAGTGAAGTTGAAGTATGTGGAGCCAGCACCATGAGTCTCCAGCAGATACCTCAGTAGGTACACAGGCCTGTATGTGGTAAGTACCCATTTGAGCCAGGGTAATTGCCAAGGATGGTGGTTCCTTTGTATCAGGTTCCTGGAGTCAAACAAACTTTGGAATGGATTGTGCAGGTGTCATGCCAATAGGCTTGGCTTTTAGTTGACAGGAAGGGCAGGTTCTCTCATTGGCTCCAAAATGTTCAGTATCCAGGAGAATTGCTGTTAAATAATAACCAACTATGTGAAAGAGCCTTTAGTAGCATATATTAGCTCACTGAGTAGTTGGCACAAAGCTTCATGCTGGGCATTGCTGATTATCAGTGAGGAGACACTGTGTACTCAAAACTTCCCCTTAATTCCTATCATCCAATATCATAAAAGCAGTTTTGAAACTCAATCCTAGCTATTTAATCCAAAACCACATAACCTACAATACTGCTTTTGCCTCCCTCAATAAGACAAAGCTAAATAAATATGAACTGGGAAAAGGGGGGTGGTAGTGATTTGAACCTGCTAGTGGAAATTATTAACCTTTCTCCTTCAGTATCCTTTCAGTAACACAAAACCTGAACATCAGACGCTCCACCATTCTTCAAAGCTAGCTGTACTAATGGACCTCATGAAACTCATGTGAACTAGACCTGGTCTGTCTGTACTTATATGCAAAGAGTGGTTCCACTTTAGGGAACAGAAACTGACTCCATAAATGCTAAATGACCCAGGTAAAAGTATAGAATTTTAAGTTCCCCCTTGAGCCCCAGCCTAGCAAATTCAGAGTAATGCCAGTAAATATGTTGCAATGACTTATAAAACACATATTGACTGAGTTAAAAGAAAATAGATTCTTAGAGCTTTATTGTGAAATGACAGATACTGTGTTAATACTGTTACTCTCAAAAAACATTCCTGTCTGAGTTAAGGCTATGCTTTTTATTAACCAGATCTTTAGGGAGTTCTGTGTTGGTAGAGAAACATGAAGAAAACTTCCTCCTAGATGGAATCTCTGCACACTACTAATGAAGATGATAAGAGCCATGTTATTGAGTCCAAACGTCAGTTGTAGTTGGCACTGTTGGGTCATGACAGCCATGCTATATTATGTCCCTTCTTACTTAGCTGGTAGAGATATGTCTTGGAAAACGTACATGTTCTTCCCAGGGTCTCATAGACAGTAATCAATGCTTTGGAATGAGAACAAAATCTAACTGGTTTCAAAACCCGTATCTTGGCACTAATACATGCTATGACCTTACCATGTAATGTTGCAGATAGCCTTTGGGATTCCATAGTCATATCTGCATGTAGTTTTTGGTGATATGCTTTGATCTTATTTTCTTGTAATCTTAAGAAAAATTGTAGTTTAATGTCACTAGTATTCATGAAATTTCACAACTATCTTGAGAATCTCAAAGGTTCCAGACTTACAAGACCTACAAGATCTGATATTAAATATATCATGGGCTTTGTTTTTATTTGCTAAACAAGAAACGTTCTCAATAAGCAACTTTTTGCTTCTAAGTATGACTGATGGTATCTGAAAGGAGGTAATAGACTTCTAATTGGGAATTTGGTCATTGATTTGTTCTGACATATTTAGGTGGTCTTGATAGGCACCATAATTTACAAGATAAAAGAATGCCATCAGTTCGAGGAAAGAATTTCCACATAGGATGCATTATTAATTTAGCTACTTCACTATTGGACAATGAAAATGGTTGTTGAAGTGCTTCATGTGTGGGGATGAATGTTTATTGAATTGAAAGTCTTCATGGGGTTATTTCACATGGATATGAACTACACTGAATACCATAGGCAATGGTAAGTCGGACTGTGAAGCAGGGGAGAACAAATAAGCTGAGTAATAGGAATGTTTTCTTTTTATTTTTTTTCATTATTTTATTTTTAAAAAGAAAACAATCTTTTATTTTATATGTATACATACATACATACATATAAATCCAAGTTCCCACTGCCTTCCCTCCTCCCATTCCCTCCACTTGTGCCCCATCTACTTCACCCCCCCCAATCCACTCCACAGAGTGGCCACTGGCAGTGGCACCAGGATCCATCCCTACTGTTTGTACTATATTTTGTGGAACTTATTCCCTTTGGATGAATTATCATGCTCAGACCAGATATAGTTGGGAGGGCCTTGGACCTTCTCCAAAGCAATGTGACTTACCCTCTCTGTGGGTATAGATAGGAAGGAAAACTAAACTGAATCGAGGGAGAAAGAAGGTGGAGTCAGGCACTATCTATCTATATTTTGCCATGCCATATAGGTCAAAGTGGCTTCTTTACTAACCAATGGCAATAAAACTTATTTCATAGCATGCAAAAGGGAATCTCACATCAATGTGGCCTTCAACAGCAAACAATATGATATTTCTAAGCCTAGCCAAAGCCCTTGGGACAGTTGGGAGTTCTTTGCCTGTTCCTTGGCATATAGAATAGTAGGTGTTCAACTGACAGGCAGGTAAGCCTATTAGCATCTCTATGTTATCCATCAACCTCTTCATAGGGTCTGTGTGTAAGAATTATACCTCTTCAGCCTGATATGTCTAGTAAGTTCTCTTGGGCCCATTTTTAAAAATATGATTTTAATATGTCCATCTTACTCTCAGTGTAATTTACCCTGATTAATTTATAGGATAGCATCTTTCCTACTCTTAGGAAAGTCATTATTAGACTTTGCTACATGGGTAACATCAGAAATATGGTACCATTCACATGTCCACCCAAGTCCAGAGTCATCCTCTATCCCCAAATGTATTAAAAAAAAACTGCTTGTAAAATGGAGTCATTCATGGCAAGGCACAGTCTAAAAAAAAAAAAAAAAAAAAAAAAAAAAAAACGCAGGATCTAGATAGGCACAGCCTGACCTTAACAACTTCCATCTATGCATATGATATAATGATCATAATCTCTTTCTGTTTTGCTTTCTTTTTTCCACCCTCTTTTCACTTGTACATGCCTAGTGGTTCCTTTTGACTTTCATGTCTTTTGCCCTATCCATTCCATGTACAAGAGAAAATATATACATTTGTTTTATAAATCTAGTTTGATCCATTCAACAGGATGACCCCAGTGACCATGATTGTCCAACACTCTAGCTTCCTGGTATTAAAATTTAACAGGAGCCAAGAAAGGCCCCATGACTCTCAAAGAACCTATGCCATTGTGATTCTATGACTGGCTTTCTCCAGACCTCACCACACATTCCCCAGTCAGAGTCTTAGTTATAGCTACTGTTTTCTTTTAATGTTTTAGTTCTAGTTCTCTCTCTCTCCATCCTCCACTCTCATAAAACAAGTAAAGCAAGATTT